TGAGTCATACAGAGAGTAATAAAGTCGTTCCAAACTGAAGTTGTAATGGGAAACGAAAACAGGAAGGGAGACGGATCAAACGCGGCATGGAAAGGCTGAATGCCGTACATGTACCTTGTGTAGTAGAATGTTTGTCTGCGAAGGAAAAGCATGTTATTGGTATTTTTTTGTGGCATGATTATAGGAGGAGTCAAGTTATTTTTTATTGCAGGATACTATTTTAGGCTCGATGTGCAAAACAAAGAAGAAGATATGTGCCATGGTCACAGTGCAGCGGGAGGTGGAACATTTAAAGGGAAAGGAAATTCAAGGAATATGAGCTGTTGGGTAATTTTATTGAAATACATGAATTTGTCTCAACAATAATGCAGTACAGAGAAATCTCGTCCGGCAACTACCTGTATGGAAATACCACCTGTGTAATAAAGATTTGGGGGGTTTCCCTTGAAATTTATTATACATTGAAAATTGTGCCTATATATATATATATATATTACAACCCCAACCTATATAAAGACATGTTTTTTCTTCCCGAAATGTTTTAACATGTACATAATACAGGTTTGACTGTAAGTGCATATGAATATACACAGATAAACAAGTACATTGTAGACTATTCATTTCTTTGGCCTTTGAATCCAATAATGGCACATATTGCTGCAAACTTTCTTTGTCTAGAACTGGAACCATTTCTCCCCATCCAAGTGTATCTCTTAAAGAATAAAGCAACATGATGACAGTTTCTTCTGTGGAGGCAAGATTCCGTAAATGTTGGAATTGACAGGATAATTTAAATCAAGCTCAGCTGTTGGGCAGTAATTGGCAACTTTGATTTTGGGACAATCAACCATGCCGCCTTTATTAAGCCTTCCTTCAAATCACTTGCATTTTCTCCATATTTTATAACACTTGAAGGGTGTTAAAGAGATATGATTTTAAGAGTAACGTTTGCCTTGGCGCACAGGGTGTGCCCCAGCTCTATTAGCTCGTTAAATGATCCCCCAAAGTCTTTTTGGGTGCGTTCAATCGACACTTTTTCACCCTAGAATCACGGTTTTCAAAGACGTTTAGTTTCAAACATGGTTGCGTTCAAGCGATTTTTCGTCGGTCGTAAAAATAAACGTGTTTAAAAACACAAACATGAAACGCTGAAAAAGATGCGTTTTGTATCATGATTCTGCAGAAACACAGTCTCTAAAATTCGCTTGAATGAACGGAGATCTCAATCATGATTCTATGACGTCATTATTGTGTCCTGTTTCGGTTTGACCGATAGTCAATCGTAAACACAGGCAGAAAGCACACGGCAAAGTTGACCTATACTTCCAAGGTCAAACTGCACAGTGTGATGAGCAGTGGCTGGGCTTGAAATGAGCAATGGAAAATTGCTTGAACGTTCTCCTGCAGTAACCATGTTTGTTAACAGCATTTTGATTTGTGATTCTAGCTTTGTGATTCTAGCTTTTAAAAATAGCTTGAACGCACCCTTAGCTCGTTAAATGATCCCCCAAGCCAAGGTCTAGCTAGGCCTCGCTAGGGTGTGAAAGCAAGCCTCAGTCAAGTGCAGGACTATATTTGATGAGGGATTAAAGTGTGGCTTATGATTGCAGAGATACAGAATGTGACGTCTTGTCTACTAATGTGTCTGCTAAAGTGTTGGGCAATGTTTCTATTGCCGGAGGGGACTGCGGGTTTGAACAGCATCTTGCGGTATACCATGCACACAGCTATGATTAACATGTACACTAGCATGCAAACTTCCACAAAGCAACTAGTATAATAATGATGATAAATTGGGTTCTTGTACAGGGCTCATATCTGTCAGACTTGACACTCCTGGTGCTCCTGATTATTAGCCTGGCTTTACTGCCACTCAACTCTGCTTCTTCATTCTTCCTTTTCTGACACCTCTCAATTTCTAAAAAACTCAACAATTTTACATGCAAGAAGAGATATTGCAAATTTTGGGAGTGGTTCATATTCAAACAAAACTTTCTTGATTTGAAACGGATCAGTCTCAACTCTGAATATTTGCAATTTGCATTTTGACTTAAGCCGTCCACACCATCACTGGGATGTATGATGGCTTCTGTTTCACTATGGCTTGCCACACCTTCCTGTCTTCTGTTAACCTTGTAGCTTTAGTCAGGGAGTCAACTTGTCTGTTTTTGCAGTCCGCCTTGATGCAGTCTGTCCATCTCTTAGCTGGTCTTCCCCTTGGGCGTTTGCCATGTATATTTCCATTGAGAAGGATGTGGGGGTATCTTTTTGAATTCATTCGGTTGATATGTCCAAAGTATCTCAGTCTTTTTGTGGCAACCCTGTCGATGATAGTTTCTTCCATATTCAGTTGTGTTCGTATGTGTGTGTTCCTTAGCCTGTCAAATCTGGTCACACCCATGATTCTCCTGAGGCATGCCATCTCAAAAGTGTGAAGTCTATTTTCATCTACCTTCTTTAATGTCCATGTTTCTGCACCATATAACAGAATAGACAACACCAGGACTTTGTACAGATCTACCTTTGTTGAGCAGCGTATATCTTGTGATGCCCAGATTTTCTTGAGTGCTTGGAATGCTCCTATTGCCTTCCCAATGCGGTGCTTTACCTCTTCCGAGCAGGATCCTGTCTGGCTTATTGTTCCTCCCAGGTACGTGAACTTATCTACTTGTTTTAGCTGTTCTCCTCCAACGTTTATATTCAATAGTTGAGGCTGTTTGCTTATGGCTTGTACTTCTGTTTTGGTAATGTTTATTTTCAGTCCAAAGTTTGAGCTGCTCTGATGTACTAGGTCAACTATTGTTTGGAGGTCTCTGTCATTGTCAGCTATAAGGACTATGTCATCCGCAAATCTTAGGTTGTTGATTAGCTGTCCCTGTACTCTTACGCCGATCTTGGTGTCATGTATAGCGTAAAGCATCACAGCTTCGAGTAAGATGTTAAAAAGTTGTGGGGACAGGGCACATCCTTGGCGTACCCCAACTGTGGTTTTAAACCAGTCGGTCAATTCACCATTCACTCTGACTGCACTGCTTGATTGTTGGTAGAGTGCTTGAAGTAGGTGTATGTATTTTGATGAATATCCAAAGAAGTTCATTGCTTTCCACAGCCCTTCCTGCCAGACTGAGTCAAATGCCTTTTCGTAATCGATGAAGCAGCATAGGAGACTTTGATTTCTTTCAAGGCGCTTTTCCATTATCTGTCTGAGGGTGAACAGTTGATCCATAGTGGAACGTCCTGGTCGGAATCCAGCTTGTGCTTCGGACAGCACTTCTTCTGTTTTCTTCATGATCCTTCGCTGGAGGATGATACTGAATACTTTCCCTGCATGGCTTAGCAGGCTAATACCCCTGTAGTTTCCACAGTTGAGTTTGTCTTTTTTCTTGTAGATTGGTGTTATTATGGCTTTTCCCCAGTCAGCCGGAAAACTTTCTTCCCGCCATATTATGTTGCACAATTTGTGAAGTATGGTGATTCCTGTTGGCCCAGTAGCTTTGAGTTCCTCTCCTGTGATGCTGTCAAATCCAGGTGCTTTCTCTTCTGCGAGTTTTCGTACAGCAAATTCTACTTCATCTCGCAGAATGTCTGGAACCGGTTCGAGGCTGGCCATCTGAGGTATGTTAGTAGCTTCTCCATTTGTTTGGTTCTGGTGATTGTACAGTTCCTCAAAGCTTTCTTTCCATCTCTCTTTAACATCTTTCATCTCGGTAAGGATTTCTCCATCTTTGCTTTTCACTGCCTGCATTCTGATGCTAGATTTCTTAGTGATTTGTTTGATTGTTGTGTAGACTGCCTTGGATTTGGTAGCCTGACGTGAGGTTTCCACTTTTTTGCATAGATCTTGTATCCATTTGTCTTTGCAGCCTTTTGTTTTCCTTCGTATTTCTCTGTTAAGGAAGTTGTATCTCGGTCTTTTGTTTGGGTCTCTTTGTTTGTCTTGTTTCGCTTCCTTTCTCTCATCACTCAGTCGGAGGACTTCCTCACTTATCCAGGGTTCTTGTTGTTTGGATTTTTTAAGTCCCAATACTTTCTGTGAGGTTTCATTAATGGCTGTTTTTACTTCTTTCCATAGGTTTTCCACATCTGTGTCATCTTCCCCCAGCAGAGGGCCAAACTTTCCTCCTATTTCAATTTCATAATCTGTCCTGGTTTTGGGGTCTTTGAGTCTAAAGACATCATACCGCTTCAGGTACTGCGGTCTAGGTTTTGCTTTGAGCTTGAGGCGTAGGTTGGTTATAATTAACTGATGGTCTGATCCTACATCAGCACTTGGAAAGCTTCTTGCATTACTAATTGAGTTTTTCCAATTTTTGTTGATCATAATAAAATCAATTTTATTATGGGTGTTTTGGTCTGGTGATTCCCACGTCCACTGGCGGCTTCCTTTGCTTTGTTTGTATTTGCATTTAAGCTTTATATAAAGTATTGCTGCAAAATCAGCATTAGTTAACTGTTCACACACAAACAAATCTTGGCAATATTCTACTATAAATACAGACAAAGACTTACATGTATACCGGTAAGGGTTTCAGTCATACCTGTAGTACCTATGATAGTAGGGGTCATTGATCTACAGTATGACAAGTTATTAGTCAGTGGCAATTTTAATTGAGGAGAACAGTTTCTCATTAGCATTGTATACCCTTGTGTCTAGCTGAGCAAGGTATTATAAAGTATGAGCACATGCGGTAGCATTGACGTGACTATCGAAGGTCCAAAAGCCCTTTGTCTCCTCAGTCCTCCCTTCATCCCATATATGATAGATTTAATGATGAATTGCACATATTTACTTCATCATACTATATGGAAAAAAAACACACATTATTATGTATCTTGTTTTTTGTTGTTATAGGGTGATAGAACAACTTAACTCAGCCAAGGATCAATCATAAGAAGATTAGCGATGAGAAGGTCCCTGATGAATTGCACATACATGTATTACTTCATCATACTATACAAAGAAAAATGTAACATTGTTATGTATCTTATATTTTTTATAGGGTGATAGAACAACTTAACTCAGCACTGAGAGCCAAGGATCAAATCATAGGAAGGCTTAACGATGAGAAGGTCCTTACAGCCAGGAAGACGCTACAACCCTTACAAGAAGAGGTCAACAAACTCAAGGATCAGCTACAGGAGAAAGAGGACCAAATTGATGTGAGTAAAATATTCCTCCAATTCTCATTCAATCTGATGAATCTTTATCATTTTTCTAAAACTTATGTATCAAGGCTTGTTCAGATATGGCCCGGTAAACTGCCGCTCCCCCCAAAAAGCCACTACGTTTTTGGGGTTTAAATGAATGGCAACTGAGCAGGACAAAGGACATATTTAACGGTCACTGTGTTTTAAGATGGAGAAATGAAAAGTGTAATCTTAAAGATGAAGTTGAGTTCTGGTCATGCGATTGCATTGTGAAAGAAACGGTGTGGAATCGACCAGAAAAGGTTGATCATCTAGCAGATAAGAATTTGTTTGTATTGCAAGGTTCTGGAATCATCAAAATGATAAGAAATTTGGCCAAGTCTTGGTAAAATTACAAAAACTATACACAGAAAGATGTATATGGGACTACACGAACACGTGGCGTAAAAATCCTACCCTGGAGTTTTACGATGTTACATGACATATTTAGAATATGAAAGCATTTGAAGAGCCATGCTTTTCAGGGAACATGTCTTATCTGATGTTCTTCCACACTTGCATAATAATAATTATAACACTCACAAATTATTTTTCACCTCTTCCCAGAACTCAACCTTCTCTTTAACATCGTCATTTAAAAAGGATGCACGGTTTTGCCACGTCATTTCTGAACGGGCCTTTACAAGACAAATTGATGAATAATTCAATTTCTTTCATGACCATGTCCAAGCACTAAGATAGCGCCAATGACACACACAAGCAAGTTTTTGATCATATATAAACAGGAAGTATCATTAGAATCAAGATGAACATTTCTTCTTCAATGCATGGATATTGATGTTCCATTATTCTTTCATCCATTGTGGTATTAACAGGATATTGAGAAAGGTGCAGGCAGAGATAAAGACAGAGACAAGGAGAGGATACGCAAACAATATGAGGTGAGATGATCGGCAGTGACTTTTTTTTTTCTTCTTCAGCATTTATAGATATTGTTAGTAATAATAATCTGGATTTATATAGTACTTTATACAAAATACTGTCTCTAAACACTTTACAGATAATATTACCCCGGTCTTTGGATTTGTTTGCACAAAATGTGCACCATCTCCACTACCTGTAGAGTAATGTATGAATTTGATTTGTTTGTATTTTTTCTTATGCAAATGATTTTGGAAAATTTGCATAAAACTGCCGCTAAAATGACGGTGAAAGAAAAGTAGTTCCTCGATTTAAAAGTATGTTTGGTAATTTTGAAGAAGAATTTATATATTTTGAGTCTATTTGAAAAAGGAACAAGATATGCCTTTCCATATCATCTATTATCAATTCTGTCAATATCAGTGATGATAGTGAAATAAAGAGAGCGGACGATCCTTACCAATCTTTTAATGAAAAACTTATACTGATAAATTTCAAAATTACAACATAACCAATAACAGCACAATAAACAACCATGGAAAAATGTGCAAACAATTATTTCCCTACCCCTCCATGATAGTTAATTAATACCTGAAAGTTATGAAAGAATAATTCATGTAATATTGTCTGTTCTTTAAATGGCCTTTCAGGATGTGTATCTGGAACAGGAGAAGAGAGTTCGTGAGTTGGAAGATGCAACCGAACAATTCCAGGATGAAATCAGAAACAAAGCAAAGAACATCAAGGTACTACCTTCTTTCCTTTTTTGTGCAATCACACATGTATGATACTCTTAATAACTTCATATATTAATTATGAACCATAATCCTGAGTACCAGTTGAAGATATCAAATTCAATAATAAATACATGAAAATTGAGCTATATGAAAAAAGATGGTTTACGATTCAGTGAAATCAATTGTATTGTCATTCAGTTTGAGAAGGTAAAATACAGATATCAGTTACTTCTAGACTAATTTATCTGTTCAGTTATGTACATGTAGTTTGAAAATCTGTTATTGGGTATTTTATGCATGTTTGTGTCTTTCTTCTTTACCTCCTTCTAGGACATTGAAAATGCGTTGAAGGTGTCACAAAAAGTAATTAAGGTATGTACATTATTTCATTTTTCATATTGTAACTTTCATAACTGTTTTGAGCCAAGTGTACAAGATTCTTTGCAGATCACTACAATTTTGACTAGATGTAGTTGGGGCAATTATACACGTTTCTGTAAATAAATACAAATCATCAATTATTGTTCTTAAATCGCATCTTGTTACTATCTTTTATACCTGGCCGTTTTTATTTAGTGTGTCTTTGATGTTATGTATAGCTTTAAATTGTCTTAAGTCAGCTGTTTTTGTTCTTGATGAGAAAAAAAATGAAAGTCCCAATAATCATTTAATAATTTGCTGTTGATACATGTATACCACATCAAGTAAAGCTAGAAGCCACGATTGCTGATAATAATAGATATTAAAGTCTATAAATTATTTATTTCAGTGTTCCACTCCCACAAATAATATGCCCAAGGTGCAAAACAAAAGTAGGAACATGAAAAAACATAAACGTGAGACATGTTATAAGATACAAACAGTTCTACTGGAAAGCAATTTTGAAACATATTTTTGTAATTTTGAGGTAGTTCCTTTAAATCTATCTGCACTAGTTTGACTAGGAGGGATTAGACCTCCCTGTATGGCTACTGACAGGTGGTAATCTCATCAAATCAGCTCTCAATTAACATTAAAAAAGGGGACCAGGGGGGGGGGGGGACCAACGGGTACCGCTTAGGCATTATTTACTATATAGAGGGCCCAAGTAGCTACAAGTAGTGCAGTCCCGCTTTAAAGCAGATTTGATGGTAAGTAATGTGTATTCTCGTTGATTTGAAGGAGTTGGATGGTAAAGTGAAAGACAAAGATGCAGAGATCGCAACGCTGGAGAGCGGTGGCAAGAAGGGAGCTAAGGCTATACAAGGACTGACAGAGATGGTCAGAGCCAAAGACAAAGAGGTTTGTCACTCATTAATTGTACAACCAGATGTTTGATGTAGAGCATAAGAAAGTGGAAAAGATAAATTTATTGTCAAACTCAACTTTGCCTGTTTTGGCAATTGTTTGTTGTATCTGCTGTCTGCTGAGATCTATAGGTGCATTACCATGTAAAATGACAATAGGTAAAGCCCCTTTAAAGTGTTGTGAGCACCAAAATTTGATGGCAAAATTTCACTTAAATTGTATCATAAGGTGAAAGAGGATGTCATTTAAGACACATTTCTGCAAGGATTTTCAAAACGAATGTGTTTGAAGTTGAATATTGATGAAAGAATACACAATTTAGATTTTCTGCATATGACACCCTCTTTCACATTTTCTTTCAATTTAAGTGAAATTTTGCCATCAAGTTTTTGGCAAATTCGGGGCTCCCAACACATTAGAGGTGCTTTAACTACCTTCTGGTTCTCTATTTTGTGAACCTGTTCTTACCAAATTCAAAGGTTTTGTTAATACAGTGTGAGTTACAGGAATGTCTCCGCAAATCAGAAGCTCAGTTTTGCGATACAGAATCAACTGATTTTGTTATCATTTGTTGCAGATCCAACAACTATGTGACCAAATAGAGGATATGGAGGAGGCCCTCACCAAGGCTAACGAGAGAGTCAACAAAGCAGAGCGCAAGAAACATGAGGTGAGGAGCACACACTCGTACCATACTTCATTTCTGTCATGTTTCCTTATGTCCTTCACATTCTGATGTGTGTCTCAATGCTGCATTTTCATTGTTTATGTTCTCATTATGGTACAGTATATCTTTCTGTGCCCTCTTGCATGGTTCGTTCTTTGAATTTCATCTCCTCCCCATCTTTAATTTCAAATCTTGAGTTCTGGTATTGATGGTAAATGGATTCTCTGAGAAAAAGATTAACTTGTCATTATATTGTCACTAATTTCCAAGACTACCGATACAGACACCTACCTGGATATTCATAAATGAATGATACACGCCAATCAAAACTAAAAACAAAACAACAACATACCAAGGAATCATAATGGAAAATGTATAATAGAAAAAGCTTTCATTACAAAGAAAAACAGATTTTTACTGGTCTAAACAACTCATTTAGAGCATGACTAACAAATCAAAATCAGTTTATGCCAGTTTCTCTCCAAATGCAATTCCATAACCAGAACTACAGATTAACTTTATATTTGAACTCACCAGTTTGATTTATCCTTTGAATACATCCATCTTTTTTTGTTGAGTGCACCGTTGTTGTCATGTTTGCTTCTGCAAGTACTTTGTTGGCTTCCTCAGTTTCACAGAACATGGGGAAAAAACTACATCTTTCCTGGTTTTCTTATGTCTCTCCTGTCCAGGAAAACTAATTTGTCCAATAACAATTATGAGAATGATAGCTATAATCTGTTAACAAACACTCTAACAGCTGGATAAATGCTGAATGAGAAGCTAGACTAAAGGTCTCTTTCATGTATATTCTCTGAGAATTCAAACTCTTTTGTATTAAGGCACTAGCTGAATCCCAAAGCAATATATTGTTGAATTTTCTTTCTAATACCATGTACTATAGAGACTTTTGCGACCTGCCTCTCTACGCCTTTATATTTATATACCTGATTAAAAGAGCAACCAACTTGTTACATGTATATACCTGATTTTGATATGGATGTCATAATTACCACCATCCTTTTTCTCTATGCCATCCCAAACAAGCACTAACTTGTCCCCTCGTTGACTCAGTCATGCCCCATATATCTGACCAGTCTCAACTTGAACTATTGCGCAATACACTCTCACTGCTACATCACTGTTGAGCGGATAGCCATACCCTGTGTGATTATCCTCTATATAGGATGTATTCTAGTATACATGTACAGTTCGTCTTGGAATTTGTGGATTTATTGGCATTGTTGTATCCTGTTTCTCTTTGATGTTTCCCTTTAACAATGAGTTTTTGAGGTAATATGAAGTCATAATAGGCTATTTACTTTCTTAGAAGGTTGTGTACCATATTTAATATTTAATGTAGCATTTTTTCAATATTGAGTTTTCTTTTTGCATTTTACCCTCCATTCTTTCATCTATGCATTCATTTCATTTCATGTTTTTCTTTGTTTTGTATACTTGTGAAATATTTTGTTTCCTTTTCCCTTTGTTATATGTGTGGTTATAATCTTTTTTCCCCAACTATTTCCTTGGTCTTATATCACTGTATTTAAGTCACACCAATTATATTTATGTTGAAAGTAACTCATAATACAGGTACATGTATTTTGAACCAGTCCTTAATTCAGACATTTATTTTAAAGTACAATTTATTTATGGGGCAAAATTGCTGTTGTGTATAGTCTGAAATCTGGACCAAATTGAATCAGTAGATTAAGGTTGAGCAAGAATCATATTTACTTTGAGTTTGAACTGCATTGTATTGAGTAGATTAAAGTGTAGATAATTGTTTTAAACTGGGCCCTGTCTTACAAAGAGTTGATATTAATCTGAAAACTTATTTGCAATTGATATCAATCGCAACTATGTACATATTAGAGATAGGAGATTGCAAACTTGCGATTGATTACAGGACTTACGATTGATTTGGATCAATCGCAACTCTTTGTAAGACAGGGCCTTGGATTTTGTTGCTGTTGTTGTTGTTTTAACTATATGACTTGCATATGTTTGTACATCAGGGTATCGAGCAGCAAAACACTTCAATGTCAGAATTAGAAGAGAAGTTATCCGACATGAGATCACAGTTGCACACCAAAGATCTAGAAAATGAGGTGAGATAATCATTTTTCAGTTAGAATACCATTTGTGTAAACATTTCTCCTCAAATTATTACACTTGGGTAATAGTATCCTGATATCTATTATGATAAACCTTTATTGATGCTCTGGATTTTATTTAAAATGTTGCATTTTCACTTTTTATCACTAATTAATGTATCTTTTTTATCTATTATGATTGAGAATCTGCAATTCGGCCATATGACCGCGAATGATTTCTTTTCAATGAATCGTTTAAAATAAATAGATATATGAATACCGGATTTGCAGGCGTTTAAGGCCGCACCCCCCATTTTGACATTTCGTAGACAAAAAAAAAAATGGGTAAGGGAATGAAATAGTTCAGAAGTTAACAAGTTTACTTGTCATTTAAAGTTCTATTATTATTATTTTATTTAGTTATGCAATGTATTGGAATGATACCATCAAATTTGTTTGACTTTAATCTGTTGAGGCATTTATTCTGAATGCTTTAAAGGCATCGTTTAACGTGTTAAATCTGAGATGCATGGCCCTACGTGCTATCAGTGTTTGTGATATGGTGTAATATTGAACCCCTAAAAAATAGCGCTTCAAAATGATCATGAAGTTCTTTAAAAAAGTTAAAGTCTTTGAGTGACCGGTTTTACCATACTCTTTTTCCCCAATAGAGTATAGTGTTAGGAAAACTCAAAATTTGATTTCGATTTCCAATAATAAATATCTTGATAATCAGACAGGCGATCAGCTTGTAAATGTCATGGGATTTATGTTTGCCCTAAAGGTTTATAACTATGATTGCAGCATGAGCTAAATCAAGGATTTTTTTAAAGGATCTGAGACAAAGTTACCGGATCCCTTTAATAAGATGTACATACATGTTTCTTTGACTGCAGCGATTGCAGCGTTCAATGGCCAGGAAACAGCATGAGTTAGAGAGGCTTCGAGACGAGGTGAGAGAAGCAGAGGACCAAACAGATGGCATGACTAGGCAGAAAGATGATACAATGAAGGTACGAGATCAGAAATTCCGTCTTATTGCCAACTCCTCAAAAATGAAGAACAATAAAAGTATGCATGTACTTGTAGGTTACTGGTAGTCTTCCTTTCTTGTAATGATAGAAAATGTTTTCTCAACAAGTCATATGAACTTACTCTATATGTGCAAAAACAGATAATATGTGCTTAATGATTTTTGTTGGAAAAGTATGATACCTTTAATAGTAATGAATGAATCAAGATTGTAGTAATGAGATTCTGTTCTTATACAGTGTGAGTCAAAAAAAAGTTTACACCAGTCCTAGAAAATTGCTAATTATTTTAAAAATCATTGATGAACAGTAAATTGTTATACATCATATGAAAGAGTGTTTTATCCCGAATCATTTAGTATCATTTTTGTGTAGTATGTTTTCATGCTTGGATGAGCAGGAGGCATTGTTTGCGAGAGAGCAAAAGCGACTTGCGCTAAGGCGCCACGGATTTATTCAACTGGCATTCGGAATGCATTCCGAATGCCCTTGTTAATCTTTCTGGAATGTATCTGGAATGTCCCCATTCTAGCCACATTCTCAAAAAATCGATGCGACCTGCGCCTATTGTCTAGAGAACAAAGGGGCATTCCAGAATGCGCACATTCTGGAATGCATTCTGGAATGCGCCTTTGTTCTCTAGACAAAAGGCGCAAATCGCATCGATTTTTTGAGAATTGGGCGATTGAAAAGCATGCCCGAGACGCTGGCCATTAATCAGAATTGCGTGATTTTAAATGCCTGCCAAAGTGACTACAGCGCGGCGCAAAACATGCTATAACATTCGTTCTCTCAACTTCTGATTTTCTGAAGTTGATAACAGCGGAAACACGTTGTCTCCTAATTGAAGGGAAAAAATATCTTGGAATTACGTTTCCATTTTCCAATAAAAAAAAAGTTACGATCGCTTTATTTCTTAACCGTTAAAATGAATTTTGACGCTACGAGCTTGTTTTAATACAAGTATTTTCCTGCTCGAAAAAAGATTGCATTTATATAAAATAACTTGTTTGTCTTTTCAAATTTCTGCCGACATAGTGTTGGAATATGAATTAGTATCATATTTATATAGACAGCGCGGAGCACTTTTAGAAGGAGTAAGAGCTATTTTTTATTATCTTTTTAAACAAGGTATAACATTCGTTCTCTCAACTTCTGATTTTCTGAAATTGATAACAACGGAAACACGTTGTCTCCTAATTGAAGGAAAAAATTATCTTGGTATTACGTTTCCATTTTCCCATAAAAAAAGTTGCGGCCGCTTTATTTCTTCCCCGGTAAAATTTGACGCTACGAACGAGTTCTAATACAAGTATTTTCCCGCTCGAAAAAGATTACATTTATATAAAATAACTTGTTTGTCTTTTCAAATTTCTGCCGACATAGTGTTGGAATATGAATAAGTATCAGTTTATATAGACAGCGCGGAGCACTTTTAGAAGGAGTAAGAGCTATTTTTATTTATCTTTTTAAACAAGGTATAACATTCGTTCTCTCAACTTCTGATTTTCTGAAGTTGATAACAGCGGAAACACGTTGTCTCCTAATTGAAGGAAAAAATTATCTTGGTATTACGTTTCCATTTTCCCATAAAAAAGTTGCGGCCGCTTTATTTCTTCCCCGGTAAAATGAAATTTGACGCTACGAACGAGTTCTAATACAAGTATTTTCCCGCTCGAAAAAGATTACATTTATATAAAATAACTTGTTTGTCTTTTCAAATTTCTGCCGACATAGTGTTGGAATATGAATAAGTATCAGTTTATATAGACAGCGCGGAGCACTTTTAGAAGGAGTAAGAGCTATTTTTATTTATCTTTTTAAACAAGGTATAACATTCGTTCTCTCAACTTCTGATTTTCTGAAGTTGATAACAGCGGAAACACGTTGTCTCCTAATTGAAGGAAAAATTATCTTGGTATTACGTTTCCATTTTCCCATAAAAAGTTGCGGCCGCTTTATTTCTTCCCCGGTAAAATGAATTTTGACGCTACGAACGAGTTCTAATACAAGTATTTTCCCGCTCGAAAAAGATTACATTTATATAAAATAAATTGTTTGTATTTTCAAATTCTTTAAACTCGGTCAAACTATCATCAATCTCTTTCTCTCTCTTTTGTTGTTGTTGCCACTTTGCTTTCGTTCAAATCAACTGCGTGTCAAGTAAATTACACTACCCGTTCAATAAATGCAAGGGAAAAGATTTAACGGTGGAGGCAAAGGACGTATTTTACTCAGTGGGAACATCATAATTATTCTGTATTAACATCGACTTCCATTACGACTGGTTCCTAGGAAACTAAAAAATATTGATGGACGATGCTCCCCCCCCCCCCCCCCCCCCCCCCCTCTTCCCCGAAAGATTGAATGGAATATGAAACATCTGAGACTTGGCATTTATAAACTGTACTTAATTAAAATAAATGGGCAATCCAACCCTGTGGTGGAAATTTGCTTTAAAGGAAAGCAAAACAAATCAGGGGAAAACATTCATAAAAATTTGAAAAAAGATCCGATAAACAAGAACAGATAACAAAACAAAGGCCTTTGCGGGTTGTGAAAACAGCCATTAAATAACCGACTCCTGACTTGGTAATTCTTCTCCCCTGTAATTACCAGTGTCGGAACTCTGACAATACGGTTTTCATGTTATCAACTTGATCAATTTAGCGAATCATTCATGTATGGACCTCCTCTATTATGAAACGCTTATCTCAGCTGCCTGGACCGGATCCCACAATAAGAGGAACAAACGAATGTAAAGGTGTAACTACTCTGGAAGATTACCGTGTTGAAAGAAGAGGATGTAGGCCCAAACGTAGGTCAAGCTACATGACAATACAAACAACCACTCTAACTTATGTACCTTTACGAGGGCATGTAACCATTTTAGAGCAGGTTTGAGTTATAGGTATAGCCACGAATATGAGAATTTTCCTGGGCAAATATGCTACCATTGTTAAAGGGGAAAAAAAGCAAGGCAACATAAAAAAAAAAAAAAAAGAGTTTTCTGGCAATAAAGAAAAGCGAGTGCAAGATGAAGAAATTAATGTCTATTATCATTACTATTCTATTACAATATTGTAAGCATCATCATCGCCATCATCATCATCATCATCATCATCATTTCATGTACACATGTACATGCCATCTACAGAACTGATCATGAAACGAAGATTAACAAAGTTTTATTGAAAGGATAGGTTGAACGAGAACACAGATGGAGACGAAGACAAATAAATTGCATTCTCACGAGGGATAACCAAAACAAGTCTAGCTGTTCAATGGTTATCCTGATAAATGGGATTTGTGTGTCATTTTATTCCATAAAATATATTTGGGCAATAGTGGTAAGATTGTAATATGGTAAGGCACACGACAAATGAAGATTTCTAATTATGAGAAACAAAGTCGAAATTATTCAAAGTAAATATTATTTTTGTTTTCGAGAATAAAACAATGTTCATTTCAAAATGCATAAGTTCCCCAAATAGTCCTATATTTGATTTGCACATTTAAAAGAAAGGGCATTTAGTGTAGATCATGGCATAATGTTGGTCAGAATATAGTTACAAAATGTGTCGAAAACCCATGTAAAACGAAGGCTTAGGCCTATTATTTATGGCTCGGTTGATAATCGGCCGAGCTTTAGCACACGACAATCATAGACAATGGGGGAATGAATGGAGGTATCGACCGATCTTACGCAATTTGTATCGTGAGTGTATTGAAAAGGAAAGACGTGAAGCTTCAGCAAAATAAGACGGCAATTTCCCTCAAAATAACAGACCTTATTTTTCGTATTGATGAACATTACTTATATTTTTAGAAATAAAAAAAAGTCTGAACTTTCATTTTTATATTTACAAAAAGAATCACGAAATTGACTGAATGAGGCGCAATGAAAGTAGAAAGCACCGCCAAATTTTCCATTACTTGCGATGTAACCGAAATCGCTCGAGAACCCCGTATTTCTTTGTAGGGGCACATTACGGTGCGGGATCAGTCTAAAGGCTGATATTTTGTTATGCATACCATTTTTAGATACATGTATTCATATTACCGGACGTCTCGTAGTTTCACGGTTCAGACCTAGTGTTATCCATTACGACTGTCAATTTAAGTTCACGAGATAGGAACCAAACAAATATCAATGGATGATGCTCTTACCCCCCCCCCCCCCCCCCCCCCCCCCCCCCCACCTCCTTCCCCCACCACCCCACCTCCTTCCCCACCTCCCCACCTCCTTCCCCCGACCACGAAAGGTTGGTGGGGATTTGAAAGTTGGATTGATGACTGTATCTTAGAAATGTTGTAATCAACACCCAAGTTCGAACAGACCGCGATATTTATTGTTAAGTCGCCTCTGTTCTGAGAGCGCCGACATGTGGCGGGAATGTCATAATAAACCTGTCATTATTTGAATGTCGTTTTGCGACTGGTCAATGGTGAGGAGCAATTATTTACGATGACAAAAACATTTGTGTATTACAAAATAATCCAACATTTTAGGATTGTTATACCTTTAATCTCTCTCTCTCTCTCTCTCTCTCTCGATAATAATAAATCCATCTCTATCTCGAATCAACACTGTCTCCCCTTATCTAATATGAGGCGTCATGTCAATCAACACCAAAGTTTAAAACGCGCGTATATTTGACATTGTTAAGCGCCTTCGTTCTGAGAGCGCCGACATGCTTATGGCGGGAATGTCATAATAAATCTGTCATTATTGGTATGTCGTTGTTGCGCACGTGGCATGTTGTTGTCCACATGCCATGTTGGCGTGAGATAACATTGTTAAATTATTAGAGCATACGGACTATTTAGATTGGAAATAAGAAATAAGAAATCTTTTTACTTCTCATATATATAAAAAAAGACTAAAATCAGATTTCACCACCTCATATGTCAACATTCACCATCTCTTGCATCCTCTTTCTTTCCCTCGTTCTCTCCAATTCCCCTCTCACTCAGTTATCATCTCTCCCCCACTCTCTACTGATCTATATATGACCTTCTCTTTTTTTGTTTGGAATAAATAAGCACACCCTCTACAATTTTTATGAAATTCCGTAGAGAAATATGATATAAGTCATATTTTATTTATTATTGAAGAAGAAAAAAAAGAGATATAATTAAAAAATTAGAGAGGGAAGATGAGGAAGGTGATGAAAAAAAAGGGGGGGGGGTTAGGATAGTGTGCGCTAAACAAACAAATGATACGCAACATATAAGCAGACCACAAACAAAATTATGTCCGTCTCGGTTTGGGAATAAGATTATTCGAAACAACATACTTCATAGGTTTACATTAAAGCATGTGCTTTCCTTCATGCGCAGACTCGTGGAGGGGGGGGGGGGGGGGGGGGGGAGGGGGGAGCAACGGGGCCAGGCCGCTTCCTCCCTGGCCAAAAAAAAGACGGACCGCCCCATCCCTGCCCCCTAAAAAAGTTTAAAAATAAGGTGGTAACCACAAAATCCACTCTCGCTTTTTATCTATAACAAGGATAACAGGATAACGGAATAGGGGCAGTGATGAGAGAGAGAGAGAGACAAGCGAAAGCAATTAAATATCGGGATTCTGATATGTCTATTGATCTTTTTGTGGGTACGATGAAAAGGCACGAATGGAGTAGAAAGTTGGATTGATGACTGTATCTTGGAAATGTAATCAACACACAAGTTCGAACAGACCGCGATATTTACGATTGTTACGCCTCTGTTCTGAAAGTGCCGACATGTGGAGGGAATGTCATAATAAATCTGTCATTATTTGAATGTCGTTGTTGCAACCGTGGATATGGTGAGGAGCAATTATTTCCGATGAACAAAAACATTTGTGTATTACAAAATAATCCAACATTTTAGAATTGTTATAGGCATACAGCCAATTTACACCTGTAATCTCTCTCTCTCTCTCGATAATAATAATAAATCCAGATCTAGAATGAACACTGTCTCCTTCTTATCTAAAATGAGGGGTCATGTCAATCAACACCAAAGTTTAAAACGCGTACATTGTTACGCGCCTTTATTCTGAGAGCGCCGACATAGTAGTGGCGGGAATGTCATAATAAATCTGTCATTATTTTATTTATAAATAGCACACCCTCTACAATTTTTATGAAATTCCGTTAGTCATATTTTATTTATAATTGAAGAAAAAAAAAAACACACACACACACACACACACACACAAATCATTATTTATAAGAGAAGGAATTTAAAAAATAGAGAGGGTAGATGAGGTAAGTGATGTAACAAATTAAAAAAAATGATACGCAACATAAGTACAGACCACAAAGAAAATTATGTCTGTCTCGGTTTAGGAATAAGATTATATGAAACAACATACTTCATAGGTTTACATTAAAGCATGTGCTTTCCTTCATGCGCAGACTCATGGAGGGGGGGGGGGTGGCAACGGGGCCAGACTGCTTCCTCCCTGGCCAAAAAAAAAAAGACGGACCGCCCCATCCCTGCCCCCCAAAAAGTTTAAAATAAGATGGTAATCACCACAAATATCCACTCTCGCTTTTTATCTAAATATATCATTTCATTAGTCCTCCGATCTTTCAACACCCACCATCTCTTGCATCCTCTTTCTTCCTCTCATTTTGATCATTCAGATTCATCCGCATTTTCATGCAAAATATTTTCTTCATTTTTTCTCAATCTTTCTTCTACTCTTTTTACCATCTTTAATGAGGCATCGTGTCGATCAACACCAACGTTTCAAAACACCGCGTATATTTGACACTGTTACGCGCCTTTGTTCTGAGAGCGCCGACTCAGGACATATTTGTGGCGGCCTGGCGGGAATGTCATAATAAATCTGTCTTCATTCTTTCTCAATCTTTCTTCTACTCTTTTCACCATCTTTAATAAGCTGAAGAAAAGAAAGAAAATCAATTACAATATCACCGACGCTTGATAAATAAATAGTGAGAGAAAGAGAGCTAGAAGCGAAAACAATTAAATATCGATGATGTTACCGGAGTTTATGACAAAAATTAAGCCGTCGGAAAGAAATCAAAGTAAGTCCATTATCACCTGCGCTCGAGAAATGCAAAGAGCGACCGATCGCGGGAGAGACGGAAGCAAAACCAATTCAATATCTGTTGATTTCTATCAATTCTTATGGTGCATTCTATATCGAAACTCTTCCGGCACGCAATATCCGGCACGCAATAAGAAGGTAGTCGCTGTCGATCGATCTCGCCTTTGTTTGGATGACCTATTCATGGAGCATTCCAGAATGCGCCAATTAAGTCGTTAAGTACCGCATTCTAGGTACATTCTAGGTACATTCTGGAATGCGGATTAACAGAACAATAGATTCTGAATAGGGCATTCTACATGCATTCCGAATGCCAGTTGAATAAATCCGTGGCGCCTAAAGTTGCTTATGCGATCTTTGAATAAAACAATTGGGATTTGGGTATTAATTCTGTCTTTGCAGGTCCGAATAACATCCCTAACAAAATTAAAATCATGCCACACATATCAAATATCCACAAACATTTGTGTGTTTGTGAGTGTGTGTGACTTTGCTTATGCAAAAAGCATAAGCAATGCATTTCATTTTGATACATTCAATTCATTCTCTCACTCCGCTAATCCCAACATAATACCTACTGTAGGCATCACTTTGGCGCAAGTCGATGTTTGCACTCTCGCAAACAATGTCTCCTGTTCATCCAAGCGTGAACACATACCACACAAAAATGATACCAAAGGATTTGGGATAAAACACTCTTTCATATGATGTATAATAATTTACTGTTCATCATTGATTTTTAAAATAATTAGCAATTTTCTAGGTGTAAACTTTTTTTTGACTCACACGATATAGCGCACATCACATGATATATCGCCTCTTCTCCCTTCCGAAGGACTTTAGAAGTCATTTCCCTGGTATAAGTGTATAATTAATTTCTGTCTTAAGGCTTGTTAAGATATGGCATAGTAAACTGCCGCAAAAAAAGCAGTCATGTTTTTTAATGTGTAAATGAACGGCAATTGCATGCAACAAAGGACTTGCGCTGTATTCACTCAGCTTTGTGTTATAAGATACAGAAATGTGAAGCATAATTATTAGACCTTATGTCATCATAAAACAAAAAAAAGTTTTTTAAAGCGTCATATCTGAACGAGCCTTTAGTTTTGCTGTGTTAACATGTTGATTTTTTGGTTTCTTTTAATTTGCAGCTTTTAAAGGACCAACTTCAAGATGCAAAAGCAAAATCCAAAGAAAATGCAGATGCCATTGAACAACATTACCAGGTAAAACATCAATTTTGTTTTATTGTGTTCAAGTGTAATACGCAGCATGGACAAATTCATGTGCCAAGGGCTCGGAAAAGTACTTACTGTAAAAAAAGAAAGGTTTGCCATTGGAATATGTCAGGTTCTGTGTATATTGTATTTAGATCACTTTTCAAAGTATGGCAATATCTCCATTTTTCCCCTTTCTTTTCATTGTTAAATTAGAATCTCCTTGATGATAGCCACCATCAGTTGGATATGAAGGAGAAGGCCATCCAGAGGCTTACTAAAGGACTTCAAGAAAAGGACAGACTAGTTAAGGTAGGAAATACAAACTGTCGATTGTTTACTTCTTGAGATAAGAACGAGATGCATGTAGATTTGATTGTTGGTGTGATTTTTGGTTGTGTTGACTTGGAATTAGTATGAGTTGTGTGTGAGGTGAAGAAAATATTATTAAACCAAAGACTTCTGAATTTTCTCATTCATGTGTTTTTGATACAGGAACCAACCAGTTCCACTTTTAATGGGTTTAACAATTATTTGAATGTATATGAGTCCAATTATTGGTATGCAAGAAAATATGTACAGGTGTTTGCAATGTAAATGAATATGGGGGGGGGGGGGGGAGAGATTTGCTGAGACAAAAATTTAAGGGGGGGGGATTAATGAATAAGTCAAAGAATTTTTTTTTTCCTTGTGTTTATTTTTGCACATGATCAGCTCATTATTATTCATCATTTATTTATTTATTCATTTATTTTTTATTTTTTGTTTTGTTAGGGGGGGGGGGCAAAATTTAGTGAATAGAATGAAAGTGTGTACAGTGATGTTCAGTTTTTACATCTTGTATAGTGCAGAAGAAAAGAACTTTATGTGAATAACCCAGCATGAAGCACATTTTAACATTAAAATGTGCATTAGGGATTATACAATGTTTACCGGTACATATATATTCAAACAGTGGTATGTAGGCTGTGTAATTGAGAATATATTTATACTATCAAAATCTGTATTTGAACATCAGTTTACTAAAAAGGATATTTCCTCTCAGTATTTGCTTATGTATGCTCCACTGATTGTATAATTCCACATCTAACGTCCCGTCACGTCACGGATGAAATTTGATTTGTTCCGCTTGAGTGAACAGCCACAATGCATGCTGAGTACCAGCCATATATGCTTGATTAATTATGCATCAAATAACAAATGTCTACCATGCATTCCATAACTCCCATCCACCATTAATTTATTGGTATCTCATAACAAGATCTAGCAGAAAATTTTTGCTGGTAGTTGTTGCTCCCGGGAAAGCAAGTTTTGTTGTCAGTATTGTCAGTTTTGGAGCAGTAAAGTGAGTTTTAAACCCTTCAAAATTGTACTGGAAGCTTAATGGACTGGTGATTTAAAGAGGTATAATTTTACGGTATAATTTTAACAGAGAGTAGCAATTTTCATTATAGTTATTATCATATTGGCAACAGCACTTTGAATTTAAATCCTTAACAATGGTGTATTAAAAGATGTTTAGACAAATAATAATTTTCAAGAAATTCTTCAGCTTTAGGGGACCTGTTTGTGGTATGATGTTTTACTAAGTGAAGTAATTTCTGTTCGAAGAATTCTCTGTTAGAAGCAGTAAATTGAGTTTAAAACCTTTGGAAATTGTGTAATTAAAGATTTACATTAACTTGTACCAGTGATAGTTTATAGAAGAATCCTTTAGCTTCAGAGGATTACAGTATGTTGGGAGCAGTAAACTGTAAATCCCTTTAAAATTATGTGTTAGAACTTTAATAGAGGCTGTATGGAGAGTTGATTGTCACATCAATTCTAAAACTAAAGGATCCATACAATTGAGAGGATTTGTCGGCGTGCTGTTTACAGACGTATGTTACTCTGATTATGGCTGAGTTAATGAGAGCTCTGTGTTAATCTGCATGTTGATGTCGTCATAATTCTCATTTATTATTCTTTTTTATGTATCACTCATTACTAATCTGACTAGGAATACATGGAGCTTGCAAAGAATGCCAGCTTGCCTGATGTAAGTTTCTGTGTGTCACTAATGTGAATTACATTGTCGAAATGTCTTTTTATTTGCATCTTGCATGTTCATTCATATTCATGATTAGTAACGCATGTGGCGATCAATTTGAATGCTTCATGTTCACGTAACATTGATGTTTTGCATTCTGTGTTATTTTTCAGTTTATTCTGGTATTTGGGAACATCTTTCATCACTAGATGTACATTTATTTGCATGTGACTTTGTATATTGGCTGATTTTGACTCTGGGAATGCTGTTCCATAGCAGTACTGTGTCTCCTTTTAGTGATGTTTTTGCATTATCTTTTGATCCAGAACGCTACAATGTACATGGATAACACATTATATAAGAGCAAAAAGAGTAAAAAATCTTTAAAAAATCATTAGTCTATCTCCAATGCAGTATGATGTGCTGTTTTTAAATAAAAACTATTTAATTGTAATTATCATTAAATTCTCTTGTGTTGGCAAGGCGGTGTAAAATATAAAATCACTATTTTTTAGTACAAATTGGCAATTTTTCTTTTAAATCTCTCAATTTTCCTTCACATTGTTTCATTTATTAACCAGTTTTCATTTTTATTAAACTAAAAAGGAGTGAAAAAATAAGATTAATTGTTGCCAATTTGAGGATAGAAAACTGATTAATTAAGAAAATTAAAAAAAACTCCATACTGCTAACAGAATAACCTTGATGTCAAGGTCTGCCAATTCCAACTATCAGCATTAACCATTGTTATGTTCATGTGGTATCTCACCGTCTTTAGTGTATGTTATATACATGTATCTGTGGTATTTCTTGTTAATACTCTCTTGTTTGTGCCAGGTTTTGTCATTTCTTTGCTACTCTCTCAGTTTCTAGTTAATGGGATTTCAGATATTTCCCTAATCTGTATTTGTTTAGATGTTTTTAATTAATACAAAACAACTGCTGATGCTGATTGCATTTGCATTATAAGCCTGAATGAAGAAAATTGCTTTTTTCATTAGTGAAATCACATTTGTTCTTGTTTCTGTGTTTGTTTTTATACATTGTATCTCCCATAAATGTTTTATCAGTCAATTTAATATGTATGCAAAATATGTATATTTTTTTTAACATTGTGTTTTAGGATATCATTTTAATCTGCTGAGTGCATCAACATGTTTGAAATAACAAGATACTGAAAAAGAGTACTGCATACAACCACCCCTCTGTTTGGTTGTCTAGATAGAACCCAGTAGACCCTAATATTTGTGATTATACCCAAAGTATAAAAAGAGAAACTGCATATTGGTGAAATATCGTGGTATAAGGCTGACCTCACATAAAGTTCACATACATTTATCACAAAACTAAATAAACAAACACTAAACACACAAACAAAAACGTAAACAACGAGTGGTTTTGATAGTTATTAAAGTTCATTAATACAGAGTATTTGAATATGTGTCAGTTTGAGTTCATGTAGTGTCAACAATTTTACAAGAATTGAAACTATATATATACACGGTATATTTAGTTCTGTATGTTAGAGGTTCCATATACACACAGCACATACATATTCCAAATATGACCTTCAAATATTATTTCTATAAAGAGATGCTGCACATATAAAAACACTCTTGATGAACATAAGTCCAATTTAGGTTCTATGCTCGCATTTTTGTGTGTTATTCTTTATTTTCTTCAACTTTATATCCACTGGCTTATAGAATGCCAGCTAAATTTTTTAGAGGGTTATTTTATACATTCTAGCCATACACATTTTTTGTTGTGGTAATTGGTAGTGTGGTACACTTTAAATCAAAGCTAGCCGGTGATGGTTAATGTATATTTGTTTTTCGCTGGGTTCTTGTTTACACTTCAAACAGTCATGTTAGTACTCTGCTCTCATGTGAGCGTTCAGTTATCATAGTGGGAACATGCTTGTCCACAATAAACATGTATCACATTGACTCTGCAGTGTACATGTATTTAGTTGTATTTCCAAATTCTCATTCTGTATTGGTACTCTATTGATTGGTAAGCATGAGACATGATACATTTTGTTCACACAGTCAAATTTCCCCGAAATTGAATAAATTTTAGGACCAAACTATGCAAGGATTTGTTATTTACACTTCTTATTAAAGTCGATGTATCCATACGTCGAACTAATATTTGTAGTCCCAACCAAGTTGACTTATAACTGCAGAGTTAACTGTATACATGTATGTAGTATTTGAAAATGTAAGTAATTAAATGGCCAGTTTCTATAGATCTGAAAATAGTCTGACTCAATATATATCTTTCCTGCCATGTTGTGTTAGTCTCCTGCTGTTGATGTTGTTTGGCTTTGATTTCAAGAAAGCGAGCAAGCATGTTTCATCTTTGTGATAGACTGCATAGCCCTTTGAAGATTACTAGAACCATCTCCGAGATGAATATCTCACAGCCTGTTCACATTAGAGACTATTTATATGAAAATCGTTTTAAAGAAACGTCATATAGAGAATCAACCTATAGCAAGAGGAGCCTATCCTGTTCATTTTTTTTTGGTGTAGTAATAAATGTTGTCTTCTCTTTCACTCAGGCTCAGCAGGCATCAACCGAGAGCATTCTACAAGACCTCAGAGACAAGCTAGCAGACAGGGATAAAGCTTTGCAGGTTAGGAATGATACCTGTACATGCCTATTTACCACAGATTTGGAATGACCTACCAGTACCACTAGGCATAAGATAAGCCTGATGTGTTACTGTTTTCAAAGTTTTGTTGAAAGTGCACTTGTTTTCAGGAGCTCTAATAAATAGTTTATGGTTTGTCTGTAAAGTAACACTGCCAGGAGTTTTGTTTTCATCACAGGGCAGTAGAGTATACTTTCAATGTAGTAGCTGCGCTATATAAATTGATATAATTATTATTATGGATGATTGTATCCCTAATTACTTATTTAGTTCTTCAATATACAGAGCTGTTGTCGCATATAAAAAAAGTAAATTCACAGAAAAGAAATGGGAAGAAACTATTCAAGAAAGAGAGAAAAGGCATCAATCTCCAACAGAAGTGAAACTAAGTTTAATGCCTTGTGAGCCCCAAAGTACACGTTAAAGATAAAAGTATGACAGTAATGATAATAATATTATTAAAAATTACATTAAAAAAAAACTAATAATGAACTTCTGTATCATCTATACATTTTTAATTTCTTTTAGGAGGCAAATGACGAGAAGATCAAGGCTGTAGATGCTAAGGAGGCAGAACTGAGAGCATTGAAACAAAGTCTTAGGGATCACCAAAGAGATCTGGAGAGAGCTAATGGTGATATGATGGAAGACGCTAACAGACTAGGGGTGAGTATAAGGTCCAGAGATTGGGAGATTGAGAGAGAGAGAGAGAGAGAGAGAGAGAGAGAGAGGGAGAGAGAGAGAGAGAGAGAGAGAGAAGAAGAAGAAGAAGAAGAAGAAGAAGAAAAGAAAGGAGCTGAAGTGAGAGCATTGAAACAAAGCCTTAGGGATAACCAAAGAGATCTAAAGAGAGCTATTACAGGGATATGATGGCATATGCTAAGGGACTAGGGATGAGAGAGGGGAGAGAGAGAGAGAAGAGAGAGAGAGAGAGAGAAAGAAAGAAAGAGAAAGCATGAGGAAGGAGAGAGAGAGAGAGAGAGAGAGAGAGAGGGTGGATGGAGAGAGGAAAAGAAGAACACAGAGAGAAAGAAAGAGACAGACAGAGAGAGAGAGAGATAGAAGGCTTATGGAGTACTGAGATTTGTACCAATCTGATATATACAGAAGCCAATATGGAAGCACAGAAGAGGGGAGAAAGTTTGAAATGAAAGACCAAAGGGGAAAAGGAGTAGGAAAATGAGAGATAAGAAGCAAATGAGTGTTATCAATTTTCATCAACTTAATTTGGTATAGTGTCATTTGTTTCTCTCTTTTGTAATTTTATAAAGGAATTGGAAGCTAAAATGAAGGATTTGGACAACAAGAACAAACAACTCTCTGACAGTGTCAAGGCACTCAACAAAGCCAACCACGTAAGTTGTATAAAGAATCCTGGTGATGTATTCCCAAATCCATGTAATATCAATATGAAAATATTAACCCATCTATGTCAAATGTAAAATTTAGTATCTCTCCTCAATCTTTGAAGACTTTACATTTAACATGAGATTATATTTTTGTCTAGTGATATGCCTGAAAGTCATTCTAGTTACGAACCCAAGAGGGTCTGGAATGTATTTCTTTTATTTCAACATTTAGCCCACAGTCTTTCAATATGTTCCCAATAAAAGTGATGTAAAAAACAAACCAAAAGACCAGTCTGTTTTCAGAGGGATCAGGGCCCCATCTTATACAGAGTTGTGATTGATCCAAATCAATCGCAAGTCCTCCCAACAATCGCAAGTTTGCAGTCTCCTATCTCTTATGTACATAGTTGCAAATAAGTTGCAATTAATATCAACTCTTTTTAAGACACGGCCCCCAGAGGTCCCATTTAAACCAGATTGCATAACAAACAAACAAAATAAAATTCATGCAAGATGAAATAAAATTATATCATAATTTTTCATAAAAATGTAATCCTGATATGAGTCAGTCCTTATGAATTTCATTTCTAATCTTGCTCAATCCCCCACCCCCTCCCAATAGTATTTGTTTTGCAATAATAGTGATGTAAAAAAAATATATGCAAGATGAAATTAAATTAGATCATGATATTTTTGATAAAAATGTAACCCTGATATGAGTCAGTCATTATGGATTTTATTTTTAATCTTGCTCCATCAGGATGCGGAGGATAACCACCACCGGTCCCTTGGTGAGAAGGATGCGATCATCAGCCGTCTCCAGGCAGCCATCGCTGGGAAGGAGAGGGAGCTGGAGGAGGAGCGAGGCGTTCAGCAGAAGAACCAGGACCGCAACGGAGCGGCCCAGAACGTTGCCATCCAGCAGTTGACCGAACGACTCAGGGACAAGGATAAACAACTGGAGGTGAATGTTTGAAGATGTGTTTGTACTTTTATGGTGTTGGTGGGATCATGGGAGTGTTGGGGGGGGGGGTAGTCAAACTAGGAATGATTCAATTTCCAACCTAGAAGAGCCTAGGGGTGACAATATGAGCATTTCTTTGAGAGAATATAGAGACTGAACAAATCAAGCATGATAGTGAACAACTATAGGTGAGTTAATAGATGGGATAGATAGATAGTTAATGGGATTGAGTAGAGAGAGAGAGAGAGAGAGAAGGGGAGAAAGATGGGGAAAGAGAAGGGGAGAAGAAAGAGGTCGAGTGGGCGAGAGGGCGGGGGTGGGGGGGGAGAAAGAAAGAGATGTCGAACTAGGAATTATTCCAATACTCGCGAGTACAGCAGAAGTTCAGTGCATATTTTTTTATTTTTTTTAAAGCAAAAAAACTAAATTGCCATTTCTAGTAACACTGCCCTATCTATCCCTGTCCTACATGTACTTCTATCTCTTCTGTGGCATGTTTTTTTTTAATAGGAGATTGTCCGCGAGCGAGCTCAAGTAGCCGCGGCCAATGAGAAAGCTACGCAAGACCTCCTGCAGACCATTAGAGACAAGGACACTCAGATCAAGGTATGACAATACAGTGAAACCTGTCTATAAAGACCACCCAAAGGGGACAAGAAAAAGTGGTCTTTATAGGCAGGTGGTCTTTATCTACATGTTCCTTTAGTACATGTTTCAATGAGAAAGCATTTTTTGAAGAGAGAAACTAAAAAAATTGGTCTTTGTAGACACATGGTCATTGTAGACAGGTGGTCACTAAAGCAGGTTTGAATGTATGATTAATTTCTTTATTTACAGTGTTCTAATTTGTTTATTTGTAGCTGTGATTCCATCTGTAGTGATTGAATAATTTGGCAACTTGAGTTTAATCATGTCATGAGAAAGAATGGATTACTTATAATGTACAGAGCACATAAAAATGGATACAATTTCATGTACACCTGTATGCGACTTATAAATGAGGGAGGTGGTGATGGTAGGAGGTGATATTGTGATTGTGTGACATATGTAAACTAATAAGGGAGAGAGCATCAGAGAGGGTATCCGAGAATGAGCAGAGACGGGATCAGAAGAAATTTTAGATAATGAGAAATAAAGTGATTATTGATACAGTTGTATTCAGTTAGCAAACTGTATGTTTCCTGTCCCTTTCAGGATCTGAATGACAAGTACAACAGAGCCCTGGTAGCTAAGAGCAACGCACTGAGAGACCTACAGAGACAGGTCAACGAGAAGGAATATGAACTGCAGGTTAGTAAACAGTTAAAGATACTTGGGAGGCGTGATGGCTCAGTGGTAGAGCAGTGGCCTCGTAATTGGGAGGCTCCAGGTTCAAAACCAAGTTGATGCACTAGTGCCCTTTGGTAATGCATTTATCATTCTTACCAAGTCCCTCAGAGGGACTTAAAGCAGTCTTCCCCCTGGTTGCTTACTTACCAGCATACACATGCTTTCTTAGCAGTCAGGTAAAACAAACAAACATATGCAAAATAAGGTTTCTCTGTTATCATTTTTCATGCACCAACCTTTTTACTTCTCACTTCCTTTGAATAATAGTTCATTAGTTTTCTCCTGGTATGATTGTAATCCGTGCTTATAGCCATTTGTACGATATTTTTGCCGTGACAAATTCTCGTGATAATAGTAATTTCAGGGCTGTTAAGCAGGAATTCTGGGGGGGGGGGGGAGAAGTTTGATCCTGATGTTACATTTACAATGGCTGATATGATATTCATTCATGGTATACGTTTATTTTCAAGTCTAGCTTTTTACTCTCTATATATTTACGAACTCAAGAGGATCATTTTTTTCTTACAAAGAAAAGACCTTTTGTGTGCCATTATATTATGTCAGAGTGTTTTGCTCACTTAAGTCAGAGATATATTTTCAAGTCTAGAGCATGTTTTTCTCTCCATGAAATAAGAACTGAGAGTAAAATCTGTACAAAGCAAAAAAAGAGACACTTTTGTGTGTGCCAAAGTATGGTGAATAAGTGGTTTGTTGAAAGAGGAATGTTGATGTATTGGAATAAAAATTATATTGCTGTCCTTGCATTATTCTTTGATATAGAACGCAGAAGAGACGCTTGCAAGAGCTGACCATGAGCAGGGCACTCTCCTTGGAAAGATGAGAAACGCCTTGGCAGAGAAAGACAAGACGATAGAGGTATAGTTGCCTTTAGTTTGATAGGCATTATTGAATCAGTTGTAGAGGTATGTTTCTTAAAATAGCCACAACGTAATTTAGCCAAGGTAGCTAATTTGCATCCATATGCATACATGACTGTGCATCGGGTATGTTTAGGGTTAGCGTTTGGGTTGTGGCTATTTTTTAGAAACACGCCTCTACTACTAATAAATAAAGCCTACCCGATAGTTTGTCAGTAGATGAAAGGTAAAGTTTAGGGGGTTCCCCCAAGTTGCATGAAGAGAAAGTTGTTTTTAACCTTTACCGTGATTTCCATTCTTAAATTTAATGGTTTGTCCTTTATCAGTACTGAATGGCAATGCTAGAAGTAAAAAGTGTTGTCTACACGCTTGGTGCTGTAATAATAAACTCATTTGATTGTGGCCATCAACAAAGAGACCAGACGAGACATTTGAGAAGAAAAATTACTTTTATGTGAGATACATGTAGTACCTATCAAAAGGGGCATGGTTGAATTCATGTCCTTCACATCATAGTAGAGGAAAGTCGAGGCCTAACAAGAGAGGTTTATGATTTTATTTTCTTCTTTTGAAATTGTAATTCCTTTGTTTATGCTATGAATTTCATTTTATAAACAAGTATAAAAGGGATTTAGTATTTACATGCATGTTTTCATTGTTTTCATCTCACATAACCATTTATTCTGATACTAGCGCTCACTAAATGTTTATTCTGTTACTATTAACAGAAGCTGCTTGAGAGTGGTCGGGAGAAGGACAGGTTGTTCTTGGAGATGCAGCAGTCGGCCGTGAGGGCGTCACCCAGTCCGTCGCACCATGCCGAGATGTCAAGGCTCAAGGATGATAATGATAGACTCAACAGAGAGATAGACAAACTCAAAGGTATGGTCATGATTTTGTTATTATTATTATTTTTATTTTTTAAATTTGTATTATTGATCCTCATCATGTTTAGCAGTGCCTCATGGAGGACCACCATTATTAGTGATAATGAGTCACCCTGTCTAAATATCAGAAACAAATAAATAAATAAAGGTAAGCAATCTGTAGAAGATTAGTATATCTGACACATAGCTGCCAACCATTCCTATTTTTAGAGGAAGGATTCCTATTTTGGGGACTTCAAGCTATTGTTTTGAACCTTAGATTCCTCTCTTTTACTGAAGTATTCTGGATGAAAAGTAGACAAATAGACTGTATTCCTAATTTTGCCATGAGAGATTACTAGTTTTTGCTGTGAAAGGTTGGCAGGTATGCTTACATGGCATTAAGGGTGTTGTTACCACCAGAGTTCTGTACAAATGCACTTAACCACTGTGAATGGTGTAAATGACTCTTCTCTCAAGAATAATAATCACATCACAAGGCTTTTGTGTTGTATGTACATTTAGCGTCAGATTTAGTGCTGCAGCAATACAGTCATTTGTAAAATATTTAATTCACTTATGCAACATTATTTATTTAGTTGTATATTATTTGAGTCAAGTATTACTATTAGTGACACAGTGTAACATTTATAGATTACAAGCTCTTGGTTACCTGTCTTGCCATATGGTTAAATTGTGGGTACACTGGAAAGCATGACATTTGTTTTAATAATGGAAGGAATTATTATTACTTAAAGGCATCGTTTAACAATGTTAAATCTGAGATGCACGGCCCTACGTGTTATCAGTGTCTGTGATATGGTGTAATATTGAAGCTCTAAAAAAATTGCGCTTCAAAATGATCAAGAAGTGCCTCAAAAAAGTAAAAATCTTTGAGTGACCGGTTTTATTATACTCCCCAATAAACCGTAGTGTTATGAAAACCGTTAGGAAAACGCACAATTTGATTTTGATTACCAATCATAAATATCTTGATAATCAGACAGGCGATCGGCTTGTAAAAGTCATGAGGTTCCTGACTGACCTAAAGGCTTATAATTATCATTGCAGTATGAGCTAAATCCAGGATTTTGTTTCAGAATCTGAGACAAATTTACCAAATCCCTTTAATGTATATCTGTTTCATCTTTGATAGATCTGCTAGCAAGACTGAGATCTCAGAAGCCTGATGAGGATTATGTGGCCTCTCTCAGGGAGGATCTGGATAACAAAAATAAACTACTAGCCAAGGCAAAGTGAGTGAAACAAGTTTCTTATTAAGAAGTGTTGTGCCATTATTTTTATTACAGGATATTATCTTTAATCTCTGGTTCTAATTTGCGGTCTGAATGGTAATGTGGTCATTTTCACTGTAACCACATTATGACTATGATCACTACCATCATAATTACCACATTGACACCATCATTATCATGATGATCATCACCAGCATCATCATCATCATCATCATCATCATCATCATTGCCATCACCCTAACAAGCCTCATCCTTATCAGTCACCAACATCAAAAAGAGAAACCATAACCTCCATAATCTTCTTCATTATGAAGTTCATCTCTCCATATTGATGTTCATGTTTTGATGAGTTTCCCTTTTTCCATTTGTGTGCATTTCAGGGAATCTTTGGAGTCTCTTCAAGATGGGCAAGAGGCAGATAGGCAGGCCAAACAGAATGCAGTAAGTCTCCTTTAATCATTCCAGTGATGATGATAAGTGTCCCCATCAGCTCAAAAAGTCACCTGAGGGGTGCAGGAGCTCATGGTTTTCTTCATGGATTTTTGTAGGAACTAGTGATTTCAACTTAAAAATGGTATATAACAATCACAGTTTACTCCAGTCAAACCAACTATTATGATATCCATATAGCAATTAAGAATGTCTGTTCAGAGACATTAAAGGTATAGACCGGTAGTGTCATCACATATTAGTCAAAACATATTCATTCACATGATTGGTAATAAGAGCTTCCATTTAATTTTTTGAGAGGGGGGGGGGGGCGTTTCTAAAACTGGTCTTTACCTTTAACATTGTCAGGTATATTTGCAGCATATAAACCGACTTCTCTCTTGTATCTTTCTGTAGGCCAAGCTTCGCAGGAAGATCATGGATCTGGAGGACGACCTCCAAGCCAAGCAAGACCGCATCGATGAGCTTAACAATGCAGGAAGGATCAAGGATGGTCTGATCAAGGTAAGGTCATCCTACGTGAATAAGATATATTCTCAGTCTTCCTTGACTCCCCTAGTAGCCAACTTATATCATACAAGCAGCTCATGTCAAATATGTAGCAATTTTAAAGAACATTTTAAAGACATTAAAGAAGTTATATGCTGCTGATAAGTAACGGCTTGCATGGTGATGTAGATATACAGTAGGCTTGCGGTTGCACCATGTGAGAGAGAGAGGGGGCAGGATTGGTTAGTCCTGAAAAGGACTGTCGGTAATATTTCTTTCTTGAGTGTGTGTAGTCCTGAAAAGGACTGTTGGTAGCCTTGACTAAAAGACTGTTGATAATCTTTCTTGAGCTTATAGTGTTAGGGAGAACTATAGCGCCGTTTGGAGAGGGTGGGTAGTAGGAATGGCTTGACGTTTTGAACGGGTTGATCCTCTTTTTCAAGACTATCAACAGTCTTTTTCAGGACTACACACACACTCAAGACAGAAAGATTATGGACAGTCCTTTTTCAGGACTCCCCAATCCTCCCCCTCTCTCTCATATGGTCCAACCGTAAGCCTACTGCACATTATAGAAGTTGCTACGTGTGTATCAACAGATAATGATATCACACCATATTTTGTTGTTATTGTGGTGCCTTACACCAAACATGCATGACCTTCTCTCACGTCATGCAAGGAGGTAAATATTTCCTAACTTGCTTCTATTGAATATGGTGTACCTCAGGGTTCTGTTCTTGGTACCCTGTTGTTTAATTTTCATGTAAACGTTAATTGCAAACCTTTCGCTCTTTCTGATGGGCTCTTTTTGGGGGAGAAATGTTCAGTGTGCATTATAAACGACTAACACTCTCCTTTTTTGTGTACATTGCAGGAACTGAAGATGGAGAACGGCAGGTTGGGAAATAGCGACCAATCTCCCAGAGGAAGTGATACATCAGAACAGGTACAAACATAGTCTTGATTCGTTGACCTCTGTTTTCTCCTGTTGACTTAGTGTAGGAACCATCGATTGGGTATCTTTGTCTCAGATTCTGAAACAAAATCATGGATTTTGCTCATGCTGCAATGATAATCATAAACCTTTAGGTCAGTCAGGAACCCCATGACTTTTACCAGCCGGAAGCCTGTCTGATTATCAAGATATTTATTATTGGAAATAGAAATGTTAAAATTTGTTTTCCTAACAGTTTTTATAACACTACAGTCTTTTTTTTTTTGGGGGGGGGGGGAAATGAGTATAGTAAAACCGGTCACTCAAGATTGACTGTCTTCTACAAGTGCAATACTTTATTTTTTTACATTGTTTAGGTGTAGCGTCGATGTTGAATCGTCTCCTTTTCTTTGTGCTTTTACATAGCTTCAGCAGCTCATGCAGGAACAAATCCGAGAGCTTAGTCGCCTTACCAACGCCCTCCACGCCAACCTCCCCCTCAACGTCAACATCACCCACCAGAGTGAGACAGGAAGCAGCCGAGATGCGTCCCACGATGATAGGGACAAGAACAGCCTCAGGGACGTCCTGGGGGCGGAACTGGCTGCCATGCAGACCCTGAGGAGACAGATTGAGGAGGGCATGGGCAGGAGGAATGATAATCACCTGCATGTGGTGATTGACAGGCAAGGTGCTGTGCAATCGTCAACGACTAGTGGTGTAGGTAGCGGAGTCGGCAGTGATAGCAATGGTGAGTACTTCAGCAAGTGCTCTTGATGTTAAGAAAATTAAAGGGAATATCACTTCGATTTAGTTTAAATGAGCTGTAGACTATCTGAGCAAGAAAAATAAGACTGAAAATGAATTTAAAATTGTGCTGCTTGTAACTGATAATCATGTTAATCTGTTGTAATATTGCGTTGAAGATGGTAACAACTATCCATGTAAAACGTATGCCTTTGTCCATTTTTTCATTTTCAGATGTTTCGCCAACTATCACCACAGCCAGTGAGGCACAGCGCAGAAGCTTTGGAGTTGGCCATGATCCAGAGAGCATGCAACCACCTCCTCTCTTCTCCCGAGACACCAATCTCTACATTCCAGTTCCCCAACCGGGTCTCAGCCTGGACGAACTATCTTATCCCACAGCTGCCACCAAAGACGAGCTCCAGAGAGAAGTGATGGAGCTCCGGTCTCAGCTCAAGGAGTCCAAGCGGAGGCAGCAGACCCTTGAGAAGCAGTTGGAGCGGGAAGAGCTTGAGAGCTTGAGGAGCATCCCTGGACACGACCAGACCGATCCCACCGCTGCCACCCGTGAGGAGCTCCAGCGGGAGGTGGCGGATCTTCGCTCCAACCTCAAGGATGCCAAGAGGCGGTACCAGTCCCTGGAGAAGCGGATTGAGCGGGAGGAGCTGGAGAGCCTCAGGAGCGTTCCCGGACAGGAGACGGATGGTGATCCCCAGGTGATCTCTGGGCTTCAGAAAGATCTGGCAGGACTGAGGAAGAAGCTGAGGGAGAGCGAGAGACAGAACACCACACTCAAACAACAGCTAGATGCAGCGTTACTCAATCAAGCAAGCAGTGACAGTTCAGGTAATGAAATGAAATGATACTACTTGATCCTGCTCTTCAGTAAATCATGAGTTATTGCAGCAATTCTTAAGAATCATATATTAGTTTAATAAGTGAGAATGTTTTTTCCCCTTCTTGCTATGCCATAAATTTAATTTATGACATGAGTTAATGTTGTATCGGCAAATCTGTAAGTTACATTAGAAAAATGCAGGTCAACTCTTTTGTATTGATATGAAGACATTTTTCAACTGATACAAAGTCAAATGGAGAATCTGTATTGATGATTTGAAATTTCTGTTGTTTTTCAGGAGACCATGTGGTTCCAATCTTGAAGCAACAGCTTGATCAAGCCAAAGCACTGCTTGAAGAGAAGAATCATAAACTACAGGCAGCTGAACAGCAGAATGCTGCTCTCCGTCACCATCTCGGCATTGGTCCAGAATCTCCTCCAGAGTCTGGAAGAGACCTTGTTGATAACCTAAAGTTAGAGAATGAACACCTAGCATCTCAGCTTCAGGAAGCAGTGAAACGTGTACAGGGAAGACAACATGATAGCCAGAACAAATATGGACAGACATCGGTGGGTGCTTCGGCAGACGGTGTGCAGGTCGCACTTCTCCAGAAGAAACTGGACAAAGCACAGAACTTGATAGAGCTTCTGAAGAGGCATATTCATCTTAATGGCTCAGGAGCAGAAGGACAGGAGAGAGAGTTCAATCCGGAGTTGATTGTAGACATGGCGAAGGAGATTGAACGTTTGCGCAAGGAGCTGGACTCCACGCAGGACCAAGAGCAAGGGACTCGTGAGAAAGCAAACCGTACCAGTAGGATCCCAGTGAGAAGTGCTTCAAGTTCGAACAAGGCTGTCATGCCTCCATCTTTGAATAAGCAGCTTGAGAAGGCCCAGTTGGAGATGAATGCAACAAAGAGAAGGTTCAAAGCTTTGACTCTCAAGCTTCATGCAACAGAGGGCACTGTTCATCAACAGGCCGAACGCATCAAGCGTTACAGACGACAACTCCACAACGTGGGGTTACCAGTACCAGGTACCCCTAAGCGTGTCAGCAGCGACTCAAATCTGCTGAATACATCTACTTATGCTCAAGCTAACCGTCGCTTGTCGGCCGTTTCTTTGTCGCATATCCCCAGTTCTGATGACGACAGGGACAGTACATCTTCGGCAAGCTTGACACCATCAGAAAGAAGTGTGGGCCCTGCTGATGTTACGTTTGCTGGGTTTGGTTTGACCAATGACACTGATGAACTCAAAGAGCAGGTAACAGTCCTTAAGAAGCAGTTGAAGAGGTGCCGCCACGTCATCCGCAAGCTCCAGGTCCGTATTCAGAATGGCGGATTAAGCCGCCCCACCAGCCCATCCCGTGATCCTTCTAACCCCAACCCTTGGTTCGAGCTTGTCGCCAACAGAGCGGCCTTTGAGCGTCTCCAGCAGGATCTGGAGAACGTCACGAGCCAGCTAGAGAAGGTGATGGACGCCAACGGCTCCCTGCAGGAGCGCAACCAGGAGCTGCTGTCTGAGCTGGTGGAGCTCCAGACCCAGAAGCAGAACTCCTTCAGCGAGGAGGTGATCAGGTCCCAGGAGATGGAGATCGGGCGGCTCCACGAGCAGCTGGCCGAGCTTCGCAGCCTGATGGCTGTCCTCACCAACATGCTGACAGAAGCGTTGGGAATCCTGAAGGGACTGGAGAAGGATAACAAGACAGCCATGGAAGGGGCCGACTCTGAGAGAGTGACTGTCATTGAGGAGAGGCTGAGAGATGGCACGGAAGTGGTGGATACAATCAAAAGACTCATAGGAGGTAAGCAAAATGTAACAGTCAGAAGTAAAGTTGTGATCACCTACTTATTATTATTATTTTTGTTATTATTTATTTGACCAATCAGAAAACATACAGTGAGTATAACAATTATTCATAATAAATGCAAACAGTTTTAGGAAAGTGGAGAGGAGAGAGAGAAGGACACAATCTGCTGGTTAGGGGTGACAAAAGCAATTGAAATTGCTATTACTCGAAAGCATGTCATCCCCACAGGCTGCATCCTCGAAAATTAAGAGTATAGAACAGAATTAAAAATTCACAGTATGAGATAATAAACATATATCAGGATAAAATTATAAAAATTTGAACAATTACCATTATATCCACCATTAATTTCATTACATTATTTTGTCATTACAATGGCTTTACATTCATCACATCAAACTCAAAGTAGTTTGAAAGGTGCTATGAACAGTAAGTAAGTGTTAGTATGTAACTAGTTACCATTTTATCTTTCGGTATAGATGAACACAGTATCTGCCTTCCAAATAATTTATGTTTTGTTATAAATGTTCGAAGAACACATTTTTACTGATATTTCTCTTGGGTTATCTGAACTGTAATGAATTATGCAAATTTTTTACATCACTTTTCTTTGTTATAGGAAAGAAAAAAATGAAGAGTCAACTTTACATAAAGTAGCGCCGGGAGAATACCCTCTGATATTTTTGTTATCTCTACATGTTTTTTAGTCATTTGATTGAATAAAGTTTTACATTGATGTTTATTCTTACAGATGAATCGCAGTTTGGAAGAAGGCAAAGTGAAGATGATGTCAGGGAATTGTTTTCAGACAGGTAACTATGGAACTCTTACTATGATTTCATAGTTTTGAATTTATCATATAAATTTCTTTATCCTTTATGCACTGTGATTAAATATGTTCTCTTTTAGAGAGATGGACCTGTCTATAATAATAGGCATTTCTATAGCACCGTCTATCTAGAAATTCTATTCCGAGGCGCATTTATTATCACCCCGGCTTTAGCCTAGCTGCCATTACAGTGCTCCAGCATTTCAAAGAATTAACTCCTGCCAGGTACCCATTTACCTCACCTGGGTCGAGTGTGGCAAATGAAGATTAATGCATTTCTAAAGCATATTAGTGCCATGTCGGGGATCGAACCACGACCTTTGAAATTCAAGTCAAGTGCTTAAACCACTCGATTATGACACTTCTATAAACACCACCTGATAGAATCGGAAGAGGTGGTCTCTGTAGACAGGTGGCCTTTCTTTCAAGAAGAAAGCAATATATATGTTGTTGATCACAATATACAGGTGGTCTTTATAGAGAGGTGGTCTCTGACACAGGTTTGGTAACATCTTTCTCTTTTAACATGCTATTACCAATTAATCATGGTTGATGGTTGGTTATTGCTTTACCTGACTGCTAAGAAAGCATGTATATCCTTAAGTAAGTAACCAGGGGACTTGGTAATGAGAATTAATGCTGTACCAAAGGGCGCAAGCGCATTGACTTGGTTTGAACCAGGGACCTCTTGGTTCACAAGACCACTGCTCTACCTCTTAGCCATCAGGCCTTCTCATGGACTGTTTATTTCAACATTTTTCTGTTGTACTTGTCAAACAACGATACACACAAAGAATTCTTCATCATTAGTGATCTGTCAGTTTATGAAAGGTTCAGTGACCCAATCAGAATTCTACATCAAGTGTTTTTCCAAGTACTTTGGTCTTGAGCCATCTGTTTCAGAGGGTGCTGCTTCAAACGATCAGAGAGAGATAGAAGAAATGAATTGGACACATAATGCGGCATGATGATGGCTTGATGATCAGAGTCATAGAAGGTCGTCTAAGTGGAAAGACGAAGAGGGGAAGACCTCTTAAAGGCTCTCTAGATGATTTCATCGCAGAATGTGGAGCAACAGGATATGAAATGCTGAAACGTAGTATTATACAAGATCTTCTATCCCCCTCCCTAACGTTTATTATGATACTATTATTATTATTATTATTTGCTGTAGGTTGCGAGTGAAGGATGAGCAGATGCAGCAGTTAAGAGATGAAATCAGAGGACAACAGAAGCTAAACAGAGAACTCCAAGAGATCCTACACAATAACCAACTCAAGGCTGACAGCATGAAAGATGAACTTAAAAGGTAAGCCTCCTTAACCATCTTTTCTTCAAATACTATTAAATGTTTTTATTTTTACTGACAAGGTACATCTACCTCTTATCAATTCATGTTATCCTTTGGTGCATTGCTTCAACAACTCGAGGCTTACAGCAAAAGAAATGCGTCCCCATCTTTTTGTCAAATACTATTTACTGAAGTGATTGTATTTACTTAAAAGGTACATCTACCACTTATCATATAGTTCTGTTGTGAAACTGCTTTGACAGAATTGAACATGTATTCGCTTCAGTTGTGTTGAATAACACATTGGTGTGGTTTTGGCAGAATTTTGTTTTCTTGGTGAACATATTGTAAATGTTTATGGGGCTGATTCCACATCCTGTGGCTCTTTCTGTCATGCTCCCCATTGCCTCAAGATGACTCAAAATAATGATAACGAAAATATTTCCTGTTTACCCAGGGCAGCCTTATCAGTATTACTACTGTTCTCCCTGAGAGCCCTGCAATAATATCATTACACCCCTTCATACACATCATTACATATTTCATTGTGTTCTCAATGAAAATGAATTTTTGTTGATGTATTAATATAAATATTTCAATCAAAAGCAGGTCAAGTGTGGGGAGGAAGGTCTGCGGATCACAGTTATTAGGTTAAAATTTTCCATACCCTGGCAGCTTGACCGGATGCACCTGCTATTGCAATGTTTCTATATATTTCTATTGATTTTTTCTCAATTCATGTTTGTTATATTGTTGTATTTATGTGATTTGATTTGCCAAATAAAATAATAATAATAATAATAGGTGCATTGAGCATCCCCTGAGATCGATATGTGTGCAATATTAAAGCTTATCTGCCGTAGTTTACAGGAGGGATTAGAGCGCCCTGCATGGTCACTGGACAGGTGGTTATCTCATCAACTCAGCTCTCAATTAACATAAGAAAAAGAGGATCATGGGGGACCAATGGTCACCGATTAGGCATTGTTTGTTATATAGAGGGCGCAAGTAGCTACAAGTAGTGCAGTGGGCCTTTAATGTGGCTACAAGTATTTTAGTTATCACTATTTATCACTACCTACGTCCTCTACAGGTTGAAATCTGAACAGAATCGGGATACCAAAATGCAAGAGGATCTGGAGAGCCAGAAGAAACAGATCCAAGACATGCAGGATATCTTACGCAGACAGGAGCAGAGAGCAGAGGCTTCAAGGAAGGACCTAGAGAGGTAGGACACGTGTGTGTGTGTGTGTGTGTAATTTGCATTTTACAGACGTGTATCAATCAGATATGATGATTTACGTCTGGGGACCGACCTTTAACGTCACCATCCGAAAGATGTGACTCAGTTTTGAACGTGCGTCCTTGGCTGAATCAGTGTGTAACTTCCATTTTTAGCTGGATTACAGTCGCACGCCACATTGACCCATGCTTCGAGGTAGTTTCTGCCACCCTGAGGTGTCGTGGTCTAGTGAATACATCACAGGACGCTTGATAGGAAATTATAATGGTACCTTACATTAGTTTATATGTTCTATCATTAATTTGTTGAATTTTATTAAAATGTCATGTCTATAATATTCTTAGATGCTGCTTATAAGTATCAGCTTGCATGGTGATGTAGATATACAGTAGGCTTACGGTTGCACCATGTGAATGAGGGGAGAGCATTGGGGAGTCCTGAAAAAGACTGTTGGTAATCTTTCTTTGAGCCTGTTGGAGAGGATGGGTAGTATGAGGGGCTCAATGTTTCAAACAGGTTGACTATCTGTCGTGAGGAGTGGGGAAATGGCTGGCGTGCGTGGGCTTATTATATATAATATTATTTTTTCAAAATAAAAAATTCTCTGGAAACGTAACTCTTGGAATTGACCATCCCGTACATCACATGTTATTTCCTATCTGCAGGGAGTACGAGAAAGAGATCATCATCCTGCATGACAGATTGGAGGAAGCGAGGACGATGAACGACAAGCACAGAGAGAAGAGGAAGAAGACGACTTCATCTGGCTCGGAACACTCGGATGGTAAAACTTCTTTATCATTTATTTGGACCTTTACCGTACTAAACAATGGGACGGAGATATGATACAAGTCTTTAAGATAATCTTAATGATAACGACGACAAGTTTGCTTGTAACAATATTATTGTGAAATGTCAAATTCTTTTTTGCAATGATGGTGCAGGGCCCCATTTCGTAAAACTTGTTATAATTAAAAAATTACAATAATTGTTATAAGCTACTGAAGTCCTTGCATTTGATTGACTGAGAGCAAAGTTGATATAGAACTATGGTAATTGTTATTGATAAGAATTTTTATGAAACAGGGCCCAGATATTGGATACCTTATTTTTTTTAAATTGAAGCTTTTAAAAGTGAGTCTTTTTGTTTATTTTTTACTGTTTCTTTAATTGAAGCCTCGGGCAGAAGTTGCTAGAGCCAATATCTGATCACCACAATAGCCATCAATCATTCACTATATTGTTTGTTTGTAGGTCAAGGTAGTATCTACCTGTATGAAACCAACATCAAGCTGACGACCGACAATAGCGCCCTCCAGAGGCGGCTTGCCGAACAGGAGGACAAGACCCTCAGGGTAAAAGCCGAGTTGGACAGAGCAAACAAAGAGATCAAAAGGTAAATAACATTTCATGTTTTTTTCTTAAGTTGTTATGATGTACCCCTTGAAACATGTACCGGTGTACAAAAAATAATTTGTACAGGGAGAATAAAGACGTTTGACAACTATTCAAACTGTTGTAGAAACAAAAAGTAATTCATTAGAAGACATTGCAGACATTTTGTGGAAGAAATTAATGATTGAAATGCGTTTGAATCATTTGATAAGGAATTCTAGACATGACATAACAGACTGCAAATTAAACAGGTTGCAGACATGTTCACTGCAGTAAAATCTACTCGATTTAGCTTAGATATTTTTTTAGGTGTATGAAGAAATAGTTACTTCATATCTGTGAACTCAGACATTTTCTTGAAAATATTTGTAAAGTTGAAAAAGCACAAGTGTTATAAAACTTGAAATAGTGCAAGGCAGGGGATTTTTGTGCAAGGCGGTGAATTTCACTGCATTTTTCTTTCCCCTCCAGATTGCTCTCTGAGAAGCGTCGGTATAGTGATCAGAATCAGAGGCTACATGATCAGGTGACGGACAACGAGCAGCTTGCTAACTCACTCCGCTTTGAACTCAGTATCTATGAGCAGCTCCATCAAAAAGGTGATTTGAATAGTCCAATTCTTTGTCATATTTTTGCTACTTTTTTATTTTTATCTTTATAGAAGTTCTAGTGATTTAGTAGTTTTCACAAAGTTGCATAGTCAAAACCTTAGTAATGTTTTTTTATGCTAGAATGTTATTCCTGTCCTTTTAGAAGGTGGAAACAATTTTGGTAGTTGTGAGATCTGAAAGGTTTTAAAAGACATTTTTTGAAAACATTAAACTATGCGTGTAAAGCATTATGCATCAAAAAGTTATTGTCTGTTTGGAGCCAGAAGGGTGTTAACTCATATCCTGTTGAACAGAGTTAATCCCCTTCTGGCTCTGTACAGACAACATGTAAAATCTCTTATTTACTAGAAGTAAACTTGAAAAGAGTTTCTTGTGAATAAGTAGGTTTTAGACTTGGTAGATTCTCTGTAATGGCAGCACAACTAAAGCCGGGGTAAAAATCTCCAAGTTTGGAAGCGCTTAGTGATAGTAATTAGCGCTATATAAAAACTGAGTATTATTATTATTATAAGAACATGCTGTTTATAGTGTGAATGAACGGAATGTTTCCATTGATATTGTAGTATGTATAGCTGTGTCTTTCACTCTCTGCTGTCATATATTTTCTGTTCAGAGAGAGAAGGGCATTAAGTCTGTGTTAATGCGAGAGATAACACCCTTCTGGCTCCAAACAGACAATTATAAAGTCTTTCCCTCAAGGTAGTTTCAACCACGCCTTCAAATCTCATGACTTAAAGAATCATATTTTTCCACCCCATTATCTACTCATAGATGGCAGCACAAGATCACCTGGTTCCCAAGGCAGGGGTGCGGATAACGGACACTCCTCATCTCGCCCCTCCCCATCCCGTCTCCACGTCATCGACCGGACCACGGGTGTCGACCTCTCCGAGCTCCTCCAGGAGCTGCGCCACCTCCGGATCCAGCTGGAGCGCAGCATCGACACCAACAACGCCCTGAGGATCCGCCTGGAGGAGGCCCTCAGGGAGAAGACCCTATCGTCTCCCAACGCCGCCGCCGGGGCCGGGAAGGCATCCTCGTCCTCATCGCCACGGGCAACCATCATCTCGGAGGAGACGAGGATACACACCACCAGCAACTGGAACAGCAGCAGCAGTAGTACGAGGAGAAGATCAAACGACGACAGGACCAAGAGTGGCAGCGCAAGGAAACTTTTTACAGGTAAATACTTGTTTCTCTAGAGTAGTGTATTTGTTGTGTGGGATGATTGTTTTTTTTATTTTTTTTATCGGTGGTCTCTCAGCTTGAATTTTTTCGGGGGGCATGTTGTTCAGTTCAACATTTAAAGATAAACTTTAGTTCTGGTAATGCGATTGCATTGTGAAAGAAAAGGTGTGGAATGGATCAGAAAAGTTGATCATATAGCATGTAAGTAATGGTGTGTAATGCAAGGTTCTGGAGTCATCAAAATCACCATAAATTTGGCAGACTCTTGGTAAAGTAACAATCACTTACACAGAAAGATGTATATGGGACAACACACATGGTGTCGGGGCTAGTACTACCCTGATTTCCTTATCTTTCTATGCTCATTACTCAGCCAGTATACATTTTCTTCCAAAATTGTTTGGCACATGACATTTATTTGTAATCTTGAACATTCAGTGTAAGTTTCGTTAGATTCTGTGAGAATTCATTTTCTTTTTTTACCAGAACTCAAGTTTCTCTTTAAGAGATTTAGGGGCATTATAGGGTAAATGTACATATACAGTTGTTAAACCTGTTTATAAAGGCCACCCAAGGGCATTGGGAAAACTGGCTACTGTAGACAGGTGACCTTTATGGAGAGGTGGTCGCTAAGACAGGTTTGACTGCACTTCACATAAACCCAATCAAATTATTTTGCTGTAACAAAGTATTACTTTTGAAGTCCCTTTGAATTATAACTTTATTTTTATTGGTGCAATTTTAGATGGAAAGAATCAGAAGCATCATAAAGGAAATGGACATTTAGATGAAGACTTCTCAGTGGATGGTAAGTGATAACTTCACAAAAATTAACAAACATTCACATTATTTATTTAAATTCAACAATAACTGATAGGATGGCTGTCAGGGAGATTACATGACATTCAATGATAACAAAATAGATTTTTTTTCTTTTAATAAATGTTTAAGATATTGTATTTTTATCACATCGCTTGGGATCATTGAATGGAATACATATTTTATGTTCCATTCTCCTCAGATTGCTTTAACAAATTTCTGTAATATATTATGGACAATAAAATCTTGAATCTTGAACTTGAATCTTAACACATCCCAGGTCGTAGAATTCTTTTTGTATTTGGGGCATACAGGTAATTGCTTTATATTACATAGCAGAAAAAAATTGTTCTCTTCAATTCTATTCTGTTACAGTATAGAAGGTGGTACGTGTTGATATTTAATGAAAATATAACTATTGCATTTAACACTAGTCAAAGGATCCATTTTTTTCCTCTCGTCAAGCAATATTTGTACCTTGAGTTTTATTTGACATATATGTTTAATGATGCTCTGGGCCCCTCTCGAAAAGAGTTGCGATTGATCCAAATCAATTGCAAGTCCTGTAATTAAATCACAATTTTGCAGCCTCCTATCTCTTATGTTTATAGATGCGATTGATATCAATTCCAAATAAGTTGCGGTTAATCGTAGCTGTTTATAAGCTGGGGCACTGCTGTAGAATGTTGACAATTTGAAAGAAAAAGTGATTTCATCCCTACCATTTACGAAATGATATCCAGTGATAGAACTACATTTATAATCACAATTATTTTGTTGCTTTTAGGTATTGAACATCTCTTCAGCAATGGCGACAGCAGGGTAAAGAAATCCTCGTCAATTCATTCAGATCTATCCGAGGGCGGTTCCAAGAAGGAGAGTTATGCTGTCTCCATGGCAACGACCTATGAAGCTGTGAGGTCCGGGGTCAAGGAGGCGGCTGTCGTCGGGGGAACCATCGAGATGATGCTCAGGGATAAGCTATCCAGGCTTGCTCAGGTATGGCAGATCAGTAGCGTCTTTGAAACTAATTTCTTATTTGAATGAGTCCCAAAATTTGCAATATCCATACCCCAGGGTTGTTCGTATTCTGACAATTGTTTCAAATTTACTTGAGTAAAATTATTCCATCATCATTAACATTTTTGTGGTAATTTTATGTTTATTGGTGTTTGCACAGATATCCTCATCATGAGAACCACTTATACACAGTCATGAAAAATTTGCGCACTTCACTTTTATATCTTTGTTATAATGGTCACTGCATCGATCTGCCACACCAGTTTATTTTCCCACAATATGAAGTGGCCGATAGATGACTGTTCGTAATGAAATAGACATTCATTTTTTGTTTGTCTTTACCTCCCTCCCCCTCCCAGGTGGTAGAGGAGAGTAGCCCTCATTCCCGAGGGGATCTTGCAGAGGTAGAGAGTGGAGACCACACCCTTCTCACGACCCTCTCCCGCGACGTCAAGCGACTGGTGAAGCTCTTGGACACCAGCAGGCGTCACCTGGTGAACTTCTGGATGACTGATCGTCTGGTGCAGCAGCACTCACAGAGTGATGAGGTCAAGGTAGGGATCAAAGGAGATTCGTGGAATTTGGGGTTGAATTTGATTGGGATATGATTTGATTTGATATGTTTGATGGAAAGTTGTGCTCTTATTCATGTTACCTCTTATTCATGTTACCTCTTAGTGATAAAGATTGGGATGATATTGATGCATATAATGATGATGATGAGATGATGATGATGGTGATGGTAATAGTGGTGATGGTATGGATAATTATGATTGAAATGGTTGTAAAGATACTGATGCGGATGATGCTGATGATGATAATGATGATGATTGTGATGATGACAGTGATGATGATGATAATGGTAGAGAGATGTTGGTCATGATTATGGTCTTAAAATTGATGATAGTAATGGTAATTTTTTATGTTTGTGATGATTAGGTTGATGAAATGATGTGGACAAATTTTCTGTTTGCAGTCTCTAACTGCATTTTTACCTTTGCATTACTTTTGTTGACATTTAATTTCCTCTTGTGAAGCATTGTTTTTCAACTATAGATATCTTTTGTATCTCATCTTCCCCCTCTCTCTCTCTCTCTCTTTACTTCCCTATCATTTGCTCTTCTTGCTTTTGGAAGCTTGTGACACATTTTTCTTGTTTCTATTTTTGCAGGAGCTGAGAAAACGTCTTGGAGCCCAAGACAGATTGATGAAGGAAGCCCGGGATCGCCTAGCAGCCACAAACCGAGAGAAGGAGACCATGGAAGATGCTATCATCAGGCAGTGTGAGTATAGGACTGACATTAAAATGTTTCAACAACAAAAAATAGATTAAGGTAATCTTGATTTGTTTATGAAGCAGGCTATGGTTTGTGTGTAACACC